CATTAAAACCAAAGGAAATACATACTCTAAATTCATCACTCCTCAATTATTTACTACACTTTACTGTTCTGACTCTTGACATTATTTATATCTTTTGGGTCTTTCTGGTAGAATATAATAGTGTATTACTGCATGTTTCTCCTCAGCTCTGCATTTAGTGGCATCATATTAGCAGCTGAAATCAGCCTTGGATGGAGAATTTATGCCACAGAAATTGGCCGACAGTATAAATCAGAGTTTTGTTTTCTTTGATTGAGAGCCAGTTGTTAAACATTTATCAGCACAACACTGACCACATTGGTGATGGTCGTCTTGTCAGAATGTGTTAGATTATGCAGATGAAAACCTATTTAAACAGACTTGATGTAGATATTTTCAAAGATGGAAGAATGGTCCCTGTCAACTATGTTAGTTGATTCATATCTTCACTAATTGTCATCATTGCAAAGTTTTCAGTCCCCATATGGATTGCTGGATATAATAGGTCCCTGTCCTTTGTAGCCTTTGTTACCTTAAGGACTCTAGTTTTCCATTTATATGTTTAAGTACCAGCCTTATCGGCTTAAAAATGTAAGCTTTTAACACTGCTCTGTTCCATATCCTTCTGGTGAAAAGTGGAGTTGGTTTGAGGCACAGGAGAGAAATTCAGAAGGGGAATATTGAAGTAATGACTGCAGTGGGAGAAGAGGGAACCTATTTCCCAGGCCACAAGCGCTGACGCCCTGGACCACAGGGCTGGCAGCTTCTCTGGGTGGCTGCAGCCTGGGACCTCCGGGCGGGTGGCTTGTCCATCTCCTGGGCCGCAGCCAGCCGCAGGCGCTGGCGCCTGGACCACAGGTGGGCGGCTTCTCCGTGTCCCCTGTGATGCAGTGTGGGCAGCTTCTCTGGCTGGCTACAGCCTGGGATCATGGGCAGGTGGCTTTTTCGTCTCCTAGGCTGCAGCCAGCCTCAGGCACTGGGGCCCGGCTTCTCAGTCTTCCCGGGGACATAGGGCAGGCAGATGTGGGGCAGGTGGCTTCTCCAGCCTGCTGCAGCCTGGGATCACGGGGCAGGCAGCTTCTCTGGCCGGTTGCGGCCTGAGATCACGGGCAGGCGGCTTTTCTGGCCTGCTGAGGCCTGGGATCACGGGGCAGGAGGCTTCTTCGTCTCCCAGGCCGCAGCCAGCCTCAGGCGCTGGAGCCTGACTTCTCTGTCTCCCCTGACTTCTGCGTCTCTAATAGGCCTGGAGCGGCCAGAGCCGGGATGCTTGCATGGTAGCTGTGGCTGCAACGCAAGTATCCCGGCTCTGGCCTCTACCATCTTTGTTGGGTTAATGTGCATATCTCTGGATTGGTTGGTGGGTGTGGCTGGTGGGCGTGGCTGGTGGGTGTGGCTTGGGTTTAGCGAAGGCACAATCAATTTGCATGTTTGTCTATTATTAAGTAAGATGAACCATGTTTCTTCAAATCCATATGATGAAGTCTTTGCCTCAGTACCTTAGAATATATCCATATTTGGAGATAAGATGTTTACAGAGGTAATTAAGTCAAAATGGGTGGGCCCTTGAACCATTATAACTGTCCCTCACAAGAAGAGGAAATTTGGGAACAAACACAAAGGGAGGAAAGACAATGTGAAGACCCAGGGAGAAGACAGCCCTCTGTAAGCCATGAAGAAAGGCCGGGAGCAGATTCGTCCTTTACAGCCCTCAGAAAGAAACAGCCCTGAACACCTTGATCTCAGACTCGTAGCTTACATTACTATGAGAAAATAAATCTCTGTTGTTTAAGCCTCCCAGCCTGTGGTTATGGCAGCCCTCGCAAAGTAGTACACTAATGATAAATACGAATGACTTTTCTATAATGTAAAGAAGAAATAAATGGAATATGATTTACAATAAAATATGTATTTCCATTTGTGAGTGCTCAAGCACATCTATACCAAACATTTACACCACTATTGTGCATGCAACCAGCTATAAGTCACTGTGGAGTGACAGTTCAAATGCAGGCTGACACAGATGGCTTGCAGTATTGAAGACTCAAGTACAAAATCTCGAGCAGCATTACTATTGGTACATCATTTTCTGAAAGAATGAAAAACACTTGGTAAAATGCCAAATGAAACAATCAACAATCTTCCCGCAATTTAAATGGTAGTTACATTCCTGGAAAATTCAAGAACTACGTTGTATTTATTGTAACACAGGAACAGGTGCTAGGGGTAGATAATTATAAATAGGTTTTTCAACTACATAAATGTCCCATGGAACATTTGAAAGTCACAGCAGTTCTTCATTTTTTTCTGTACATGTTGCAGGATGTCAGGATGTTTAGCATCCCTGGCCCACACCCATCTCAATCATCGTGACAACCAATAATGTCCCCCAGCTTCCAAAATATTCCCTAAGTGTTCCCTAAAGGGGAGTACCACTTTTGTTGAGAATCAGTGAGATAGAAGAAAATAAAAGATGCAATCAATTTGTGGTTAACTTTTGGGTTATGGGTGTTGGTCCAGCCCTACCCCCACTCCCTGACAGAACCACTCCTGCCTGGAGGCAAAGGCCTGGGGACTAGGTGACGTGGGACCACACAGCAGGCAAATCAAGCAAGTGGTATACATCTTCTGAACTGGTATTGTTGAAAGCCAGCCTTGACCTTGACCTTAAGCCTTGGTGCAGAAAAAGGCTCCTTTGCTTAGACTTCAGAGGCCTGAAGGTATTTGAAGCTTGGTACTGGCTAGCAGTGGGCCTGCCTTTCTCTCTGTGTGTTGCTAAGAGTGCTGCTGTAATTACAGAGACAGGTGTGAGCCAGTGCACAGCCACATAGAAGCATCCTGACTAATCCTATTGTTCATTTCCCTGCCCTTGTTCCTGGACTATTGACCATTCATTGTGGGAGAAAATCACATGAACCAACAAGTTGGTTCCACCAGAAAGCCATGATCTCTAACTATAACTGGAACAGTGCACTCAAACCTTTGCTCCACTCTGCTTCACCCAGGCATGCTTCCGGCTGTGCTTACCCTCAGCCTTCCCATTCTCTTCAAGCAGTCAAATTCCACCTTGTTGTTATGCTCTCTAGAAGACTTTTGTACCTTTTACCACCATCATTGTCCTGAAGGGCTTCCCTCCTTCTCACCTCAAAATTTATTTTCCTCTTGTGTAAGAGGAAGCAAAGTCCTTTGTTGCCTAAACTGCCTGTTCGACCCCCCCGCCCCCGCCTTCCCAGGGAACCTGCTCCATTGATTAAAGAGCTTCAGTTTTTCCCTTTCAACTGCCTTCTCCCCTCCCCTTTGCCTGAAGATGTGCTCGATGAGTCAGAACCCTTCTGTGGCAAGCTGTAGAATACAACTTCAATGCACTTTAGCCAGAAAGGGGATGTTATTCCAAGGAATCCAGGATGTCTCAAGAAACCCAATGGTAGGAATGCCATGGTGTCAGGAAAGGACTTGAACATGAACTGTGCAGCCATCAGCAGTCTTTCCACCGTACTTTTCTGCTCCTCTTAGTTTGCTCCATGTTGTACACTCACTTCTTGTGGCTTCATATCCTCAAGGCAGAATTCCAGTTCCAGGAGCAAGAACCGTACTTGACTAATTTGGATCAGGTTCAGTTTGCTGTCAAGTCCAGCTAAAATAGCTTAACAGGGACCAGATGTACCCTGCTGCCCGAAACAAGTGAATCCATAAAATATAGGAGCACTGGGTTTTGAACATGGATACCAGGAGGTGGAGGACAGTGATCCCCAAAAGTGAAAACAGGAGGTGAGCCTTATGGTTGCCTCAACTTGCTGCCTGGAGAGTTTCCAGGCTGCAGCACAGGTTGGGGAACCCGAGAGGAGCCCTGTAGTCTCCCTGAGTTGAGAAAACAGACCTGGGAGTGTGAGCAAGACACGGTGGCTAGAAGTAGCAGGACAGAACACCAGAGAGAAGAGAACTGGAGAGGAGAGTGGGGGTTGCGGGGGTGGGGAGGGATCTCACTGAGCCTTAAGCTGAGTACTGACCAGTACATCCATGTAAAGAAACCTCTGGAAGGCAGGAAAAGGGCCACCTAAAAGGAGCTGTCACAGGGCCTGACATCGTTTGTTTCCACCAATCAGACCATGGGGGGGGGGGGGTTGGGGGGGGGAGTTAGTCTTGTAATTGACAAGGTATCCAGTGGAATTCTCAGAGGTTTTAAAACCGGCCAAGGCCTCTTTCTCTGTTTCCCTGGCTGCCCAGCTCTCCAGAGAACCCTCCCTCTCTTAATTGAGTCTCTTGGCTTTCCTACTCTTTCCAGGATGTTAATTGAACACAACGCATGGCTGGTTTTCGGAGAAAATTTTGTTTCTTTTCTGATTTTTACATGGGCAGATTTTATTTTATTTCTTAATATTTCCCCCCTTTTTATTAAATGTATTGGGGTGACGTTAGTTAATATGGTCATATAGGTTTCAGATGTGGGTTTCTATGTTACAAAATCTGTCTATTGCACCGTGTGCCCACCACCCAAACTCAAATCTTCTCCTGTTCACCTTATATTCGGTCCCCCTCTACCCTGCAACTCCTTCCCTCTGGCAACCACCACATACTATTTGTGTTGGTGAGTTTCAGTTTTATATCCCACATATGAGTGAAACCATGGGATGGGCAGATTTTAATGTTTCACATGTACTCCTCAAAGAAGGGGTACTTCTCGACACCCCCTCGCTGGCAGGTAGTTCAGCGCCTTTTGTTCTGCCCACTCCCCCACTCCTCGGGGCGCTGGCCTGTGGTGGGCGAAGGCTCCCCCAGCCCTGCTCGGTTTGTCTGGAGCCCACCTGCCCGGTGCTTGGGCAAACAGAACTGCAACTTGGGCGCATCTGTGTACGGGGCCAACGTGTGGAACTCAGGTGAAGTCTTCCCGGCATGGAGTGGGGCCAGGCTGTTGACAAGTGAGGGCAAGTGGAGGGGTGTCTGGAGGGCGCGGGACAGGAGGCACAGGGCTGGTACCTCGCCGGTGGAAGGACCGACCGCTCAGTAGTGAGAGGGAGCAGCGCGAGTCCAGCGACCAGACACCATGTGCGCAGGGGGAGGAGAGAGAGCAGAGGAGGCGCGCGAAGGCTGAACCCCGGCAGCCAGACACCAGATCCGAAGAGGGGAGCCGGCGGAAGGGGTCCGCGGGCGCTGGCGGTGCGGAGCGCGTGCGGTCCGAGGGCAGATCGGGGGACCTGGCGTGGCCCTGCCCGCAGCCCGCGGCGATGGGCGAGGCGAGCCGGGTGTGCTCCGGCTACTACAGCCTCAACCACAGCTTCGTGGAGCCCTTCCCGTGTCCCCGGCGCGGAGAGGCGGCCGCCCTCCGCTACTGCTGCGGCTTCGCAGACCTCAAGTACTGCTGCAGCGAGCCGGGCAGCTACTTCCCCTACAAGCACAGCTACATGTGGAGCCTCAGGTGGGCAGGGCAGGTGGCTGGCGGGCCGGGGCCAGGGAGGCGACGGCGAAGGGCAGTGCCACCTCGGGAGGAGGGAAGGCGCCCGCGTCCCCACCACCCGCTCAGGGCGGTCCCTCCGGAAGGACACGGAGCCTCCTAGACCGGAGGGGGCTCCGCAGAGAGACCCCCCTGCCGGCTCGGAGATGCCCCGGGAGCGGCACTCCTCGGGCGAGGGTCGGGCTATGGCCGCCAGAGATGGGAATCCGCCCTGGGACCCCAGGCGGCGACTCGACTGGCTGGCAGAGACAAGACACGCAGATAACTTAAGGAGGTTTTAGTTCTTTTTAATTTGGTGCACTTAAACAGAAAGGGGCTCCTATGGAGACAATTTTAAGGCATTACCTAAGGATCAGAGTATTTCAAGTCTCTTTGGAGGTAAGAAAGAATTGGCTGTATTCTTTAAACTATCAAAAAGGTAGGGGCGTATGTGCACGCGCGCGCGAGCAAGCAACTGGGCTTTAATCTGACACACCCCGAACCGAACTGGACACCCACAGAGGTACAGTTTGAGGTGCTATGATCTCACACTCTGTCGAACCTTCCCAGGACACCCTCTTTCTAAACGGGGTGGCCACTGCTGAAGAGGCTCTCTCAGGTGGGGCCTTTCCTGCCTCTTTTTACTATGATGGGAATTTTACTCATTCCAACTAGTATTTACGGGGATATTTTAAATTATGAAGCGCTTTTCCTCCCCTTCCACTCCAAAGGTTGCACACTTTGAACTTGGTTCCTTCCTTTGGCCTGGAGAATGAATGGGGTGTCAGGATTATAGGAAAGAACTCCCACCCACCTTAAATTGCTGAGAGAGAGAAGGAGGGAGGGAGGGAGGGAGAGAGAGAGAGAGAGAGAGAGAGAGAGAGAGAGAGAGAGAGAGAATGGGGGGGTACAGCAGGGATGGATTGGAGGAGAGGACACCCTTGTGGTCACTGCAGAAGCTTCTGGGCCTGCAGCTTCCTCACAAAATAATTGATGCCATTTGTGGCCCAACTTATCCTCTCCAGCAGGATTATCAGAGTGTTTGGGACTCCACAGCACAGATGCATGTTCTATATTATCGAGTTTTTCAAACCTGTAGTTGGGTGAGAGGCCTGGGAGATTTCAGATGACTATCTTCTAGCTTTTGTGTCACCTGACCAGCAGAACAGCTATGTTTTAGGGCTAAGTGTTGGCCTGTGTATCCTTCCACAGGGATTCACTGAAATATTTTGTTTACACTCCTTGTCCGATGTCTATTGGCTACCTGGGAGGCACAGTATCCAACTCTGTGTCATGTCACGGGTCATGTGTCTAAGCATTTGGAACTTTTGTAGAAAATGTGTACCATTACCACTGCACATTTACTAACTTCTTTTACAAAACAGAAGTAGAACTGCATGTATATCTTGGTAGCCAGTTAAGCATAGTTTATGTATGTATTTCAATAGTTTTAGTAAATAATCTCAGTCTAGCAAAAAAAAAAAAAAAAAAAAAGAAGCTGTAGTTGATAAAAGTTTATCTGATAAAAAAATCTCAGCAATTGAATAAGTTGGATTCATTTCATCAAGAAGCGATCATAAAATGCTTGAAAAGCATGAAAGATGAAATGAAGCACTCCCCGTCAGGGGAAATAGTTGGTATTTCCTCTGCACAGCTACCGGATTTTGATTGGCAGTTAAAGCTTGCACTTTCCATAGACAAAATTGCTACATTACAAATGCCACTTTTCAACCTTCATCTACATGTAAAAGAAAACGGGGAAGTCAAATCATATTCAGTTGGAAGGAGTAAAGAAGAGCTGCAGAATCTGGAAATTTCTTGGAAGCAACTAATAAGGTCATCCTGCAATTGAAATAACTGGAAATGATGACTATCACCAGCATTATCAGATTCCACGGCTATAGCTGCTATCACACAGTAAATATTGTGTGTTCAGAAAATCTGTGACACGCTATTATGCCAAGCTGGGAAAGCAGCAGTGTTGAGATTACAAAGATAAAAATTTGTCAACTTCTATAAAGAACAGGAAATTAGATGGTTCACAGAAAACACATAAACATAAAAGATAAAAAGTTATAATAGCAGTTTATATTTTCATAATGACTGTTCTGCTTCATTTATTAAATATCTTAGAAATCTTTATATAGAGTTTTACTGAAAATTAACCATAGGCGCTAAAGTAATGTAAACATACAAAGCACAAGTAAATTGGACTCTTGCTTTAAGAAGTATGTGGCTCTGGCCAGGGGGTTCAGTTGGTTGGAGCATCATCTTGTAAACCAGGAGGTTGTGGATGCGATCCCTGCTAGGGGAGTATATGGGAGGCAACCCATCAATGTTTCTCTCTTACATCTCTCTCTCTCCTTCTCTCTAAAATCAATGGAAACATATCCTCAGGTGAGGATTAAGAAAAAAAAAAAAGGATGTGAATACCAAGGATGTGTGCTATGGTTATATGTATATGACTGATTTATGACATTTTAAAATAACTTTCAAAGAATGTATAAGATGCATATATAACTCAGGAAATTCCATTTCAAGGGAAAGATTATAAAATGTAAACTTTTTTAGAAAAAGAAGCTCTTCAGACATGAACAAGAAAAAAACCCTAAATCTGTGTAAATAATTTTGAGTTTATGAATTCTAGACACTGAAATCTTGTACTGGAACATAGGAAAAAATGCAATGGCTACTTTTGTATTTCAAGGTCTTGGGAGAGAATGAACTGACAAAAATAACATATGCTGATGCATAGTGTATATAGTACTATCCAAACATCAGCTAAGACCACATATATCTCCTTTTTTTTTTTTAAAGTTTCAGTTAGTCTTTATCACTGGATACAAGAATAATACAAGTAAAGAACTGAAGTTTTGGGTGGGGGTGATCATATATCTCCATTTTTGTTATAAACTCTTAATATTGAATTTAACAGTTTTGGATGTTAACTTTATTGGCAAACAGATCATTTTAATTTCAGTTGTTTAAAGATAAGCATTTTGAACATAGAAGTACAATTTTATTTCATTAAAAATATGTTTACAGTTTTGAATATTCTTGTATTATTATTTATTAATTGTATTATTTTCCATACAAACAACTGTAAACCTACTTTTGCCCCATCCTGTATGTTTTCTCTCAGTCTCCTAGGATGATCCAGGATTTGGCAGGCATGCCAAATCTACAACAAATGACTTTAAGTGTTATTTCCTGAAGCAGTAAGATAATTTTTTAATGTATTGCAAGCTTCAAAAAATATGCAAAGGAGTGCCCACTTACCAATGAGTTCAACTAACAAAATTGTGATGTATCAGAGTGGGGCAAAATCTCAAAAATATAATGAAAGCTTATCCTTATTATTTGGAGAAGCATTGTATATGGTACTGGCATATTATTTGGCCTTTTGGAAAATAATGTAATAACCCAGCTCTGAGACTTTGGAGATGTTAATAATGGTAGCAATAGAGACTGACATGTCATAAGGCAAACTCAGTTGTTTGACTTAAATCCCCAAAGTGCCTGCAAAGTGACAAGCAGCAGAGGTTGAAACCTGTCCTAAGGTTTATGAGGGCACAAAGGATTGAACAGTTTGCTGGGGTCTTCGTTCAGCACTGACAAAGTGGACAGTGCACCTCAGTTCCTGGGAAATATAAAAATGTTTCCAGCTGATGGCCTCAGTTGGCAATGTTAAACCTGGGGGGTCTTGTTAGTTATTGAGCTCTGAGGACACACTGGAGAACTCAACCCCTAATTTAACATAGTTCAGTTGTGAAAAATATTCCAGAAGTCACTACCATTTGCTCTGAGATTCTGCAGCTACTGGAGAAAGGCACAGGTATAGCTACTACCAGGTAAGTAAAGTTGCTGAGTAGGAGAATTGCTCATTACCATGATGACAGCTGCAGACCTTCTCTCAGGGACTGCCAGATGGTGTTGTAAGGAAGAATAAGTCTCCCTTTTCTGTGTCTAGCCCACTTCCATCTTTTCTCCTCTTATAGATCCCTAACCTCTTTGGTAGTCTTCTTCAGGACCTAGGAAAATAATGCCTATTGCATAGGGCTATATGCATGAGTTCAATAAGTATGTGTTGAAATGAATATCTTAGGAGATTCCCAGAGCTCCATCTAGGTTAGCATGCATAGAGCAATATTTCTGTAAAGTAGAACTGTGACATTGAAATAGTGTGTCAAGATTGGGAAGACCTCTTTTAAAAACAAAAATAGAGACCTAACAGGTTTGGTTCAGTGGCTAGAGTGACAGCCTGCGGACTCAAAGGTCCCAGGTTCAATTCCAGTCAAGAGCACGTGTCGTAAGTGTTTCCCTCCACGTCCTGCGTGGTTCAGGGTTCGGGTCTGGAAGAGGAGCCGCACAACAAATGAAAAAGAAAAGACAGGAGATAATTTGGGAATATTGGGGGACCAGGCGGCAAGTCCAACTCAAGAGGAAGGACTTCCACTGTGCTCAGGCCTCACCAAGCTTTTTATAGTGAGCGGTAAACAAGGTAGTGGTTACCAAAGTTACACTTTTTTTTTTTAATTAAATCTTTATTGTTCAGATTATTACATTTGTTCCTCTTTCCCGCCCCCCCCCATAACTCCCCTCCTCCCAGTTCCCGCCCCACCCTCCGCCCTCACTCCCCACCCACTGTCCTCATCCATAGGTGCACAATTTTCATCCAGTCTCTTCCCGCATCTCCCACACCCCTTTCCCCCCCAAGAATAGTCAGTCCATTCCCTTTCTATGTCCCTGATTCTATTATAATCACCAGTTCATTCTGTTCATCAGATTATTTATTCACTTGATTCTTAGATTCACTTGTTGATAGATGCATATTTGTTGTTCATAATTTGTATCTTTACCTTTTCTTCTCTTCCTCTTCTTAAAGGATACCTTTCAGCATTTCATATAATCCTGGTTTGGTGGTGATGAACTCCTTTAGCTTTTCCTTATCTGTGAAGCTCTTTATCTGACCTTCAATTCTGAAT